AAAACGAAATTCAGTCAGGATCGGTCCACAAATTCACTTGGCTGTTCGAGAATCAGCCTATCAGCGACATTAATGAGAAGGAGGACAGAATAACTCACATTGTCAGTGATGTTGAGGGTGGTGATGTTGGAAGCAAGAAGTTTATTTTCGAAACTTTCTCTCTGGACAAAATCCAGGATAAAGACAAACTGCTTCAGCACCAGTCAATGAGTGTTGAGAAGCCCACAAGCGGTAGTGGTAATGTGAAGTCCAGCACTATGCTTTTTGAATCCCAGCCGTTATATGCAATAAGAGACAAGGACGGACAGTTTCATGAAGTTACCACTGTAAAGAAAGAAGAAGTGATGAGAGGAGATGTCAGGGGTGCAAGGTGGATGTTCGAAACCAAGCCACTGGATACCATCCAAGCAGGCAAAGAAATCTACGTCATCCGTGCAGTTACACAAGAGGATGTGCGCAAGGGAGATGTGAAATCCGCACGTTGGAAGTTTGAGACTCAGCCCCTTGACTCCTTCACACCTCAAGAAGGGCCCTCGGTGAGGGTTGTTGAAGATGTAGGTAATGGGAAAAGTGTGCAACAAAGCAAGCAACTTTTTGAGACTGAGCAAGCGGGTCAAAAGAAGTTTGTGCGAATGGTGAGTGTTACAGATGTTCAACAAGGTGATGTACGTACCTCAACCTGGCTGTTTGAGAATCAACCTATTGATACTCTAAAAGGTGAGCCAGATGAGAACACCACCTTGACAACTGTACATCGAGAGGATAACACAAAGGGAGATGTAAAACGCTGCACTTGGTTATTCGAATCACAGGCCTTAGATAAAATAAAGACCGATGAATCTACTGAAGAGCTTGCTTCATCAAAGGAAGAAATTCCCAAGGCAGATGTCAAAAGCACAACCTGGTTATTCGAGACCACACCGCTGGACAAAATCACTGTAGAGAGTGTGACAGACATACTCTACCGCCTTTGCCATTATTCATTCATTCATTCAAGTGGAATCATCATCCAGGCAAATGATTATAAGTATGTAAACATGGCAAAATATCAGATTGTGAAAAACGAGGGGCCTAAAGTTCAAAAAGAGGAAGTTGTTGAAGGAAACATCAGGAACATAATGCTGCAGTTACTGTTAAAACCGAACCTGAAACCTAAAGTTGTTCTACTTAAAGAGGACGAACAAGGCCAGATGCACAGCACAGTGCTTGAAATCCCATTCGGATCCACAGATAACCCTGAGGCAGAGTGTAAGACCCACGAAGCAGTTAAAATAATAGAAAACTTGCTCGTCCAACAAAAAACAATCAAGACAGGCTTGGTGATGCAAGAATCTGAAGGTGGGCAGCCAGAGATGACAGTGTATTCCCTCCACTGTCAAAGCAACGTGACTGAGTCGCAAGACATTGCACGAGGAGATGTCAAATTCACCATTGGCAACCTCCTTGCCACTGCCCACAACCAGCAGACCAAACCGTCTTGCAGACTGGAACAAAACGAGAGGGGGAATGTTGATTTGTATCGAAGCTGCATTGAAAAGGGCGACCTTAAGAGTCTACAGCAAGAACTTTCTGAGGAGGAACTGTCAGCCTCTTGTAGAGATCAAATTGAAATTATTCAAGGTGATGTCAAGGAAGCGAAGCGAACCCTAAATCAACAAAGGGAGCAAGCTGAAAGAACAGTCTTGGATGTTGTACCAGGTGATGTGAAGAATGTCAAAAAGGTTTTCTCAGAGGTCTGCACAGACCTGGGTGTTGGAAACTGCGTGCCAAAGGAGGAGATCGTCAGAGGTGATATTTTGTCGGCCAAGCAGCAACTTGATGAAGCAGTCAAACAGCCAGTCATGGTCCAGAAGGAGGAAATTGTTTCTGGAGACATTAAGGCGACCCTTGAATCCTTGGATCGGGCAAAACAACAAAGCATGCATGTGGAGCGTGAGGTCATCAAACCAGGCACTATTTACGATCTGAATATAGAGGCAGAAGAACTGTGCTCAGAAGAAAACGAAAGGAAATTAATTAAGGAGGAAATCATTTCAGGGGATGTTAAGGCTGCCAAAAGATCCCTGGAGAGGGCAAAGAACCAAAGCATGAGTGTAGAACGAGAACCTGTCACTCCTGGAAAGCTATATAATCTAAATGAATCATCTCAGTGCCAAAGCAACACAACAGTGGAGCAGTCTACAACATCCTCCTTCAGTAACCAGCGGATTACTACAACATTTCGAAAGGTTAGTGACATAGAAAAGGATCAGGGATCCAACGAAAGAGTTTGTTGTCAGAATGAAGTGGGAGAGACAGAAAATATAATACATGTTAGTACAGAAAATGACTCAAGAGCGATAGATAACAGTGCTCAGGTTTTAGAGTTAGAGCCAGATATTGTTAAAGGTGACGTGAAGGCTGCAATCCAGTCATTACGAAGTGCTGCAATAGAGCAGAGAAGTGTAGTCAGGGAGGAAGTTGTTAGAGGTAATATACAAGAGACACTCCAGTCTCTTGAGAAGTCTAGCATTAATATTTCTAAAGAAGATTTCAAGGCAGCAATGTTATTTAGACAATCTGGACAGTTTTACACACCAAGCAGAATGACAGATGACTCAGGGACTGTAGAATGCAAGCAGAGTTTTGTTAATTTGCCTTCATCTGACACTAAATTGTCTTCTTCGGTTTCAGTGACCGGAAGTGAGCATCTGACCATCTCGGCACTGAATTCAGAATCTGTTAGCTCCAAAACGGACTGTTCAAAGCTCTCGAATTCTTTTGCAGGAAAAGGCAAACATCCACCACCCATCCCTCCAAAAACTGGTAATCAGGTTAAAGATCAGAAGCCAGTTATTCCACCAAAGCCATTACACATCACCACCAGCTCCAATCATATTGCAGAAACCCCACATATTTGTCCAAGCTCACCTGAGCATCTTATTAATAAGCAACAGACTCCAGCAATCCCATCCAAAGTTGCTCCCAGCAAAACTTCTTTGCATAAAAACGAAACAGTGGAGACTTTAAACCAAATTAAAGAAAAACCATGCAACATTCATGAACCAGTTCAAAGGACAAACTTCACCAATCCTACGGATTTTCAAAAGGTGCAGTACACTGAGCAATGGGTTCAAAATTTCCACATGCAACATACAGACACTCCATCAGTCAGTAAAACAGACCCTCTTGATGATGGATCCTTTGCTTGTAATAGAATAGGAATGGAGAAAAATGTGATTCAGAGGATAAATGCTGCAGAGGAGATCAGGATGTGTATGCAGAGTTATTCAAAAGATAATGACGAATTAAACAAAGGTTTTAAGGTTGCACTTCAGAATTTTGGAGAAAAGAAAACAACTTCAATTTTCCCAAAGAAAATTAAAGTTGTGCAAAAAGAAACCATCCAGGAACAGGCTAAAACTTCCAAAGAGAACACAAATAAAGCTGAGTTACACTCCACCAGCAGAGACACCCCTTCAACACCTGAAATATGTGAAGTTCCATCTCAGAACAAAGTTGTTTTGAGAGAAAAGAAAGCTAGGAGAGAGACAGAAGATGAGCGCCGCCAGAGACTCTCCGTCCACAAAGACGAGATCATGAGGGGCAATGTAAAAGCATCCATGGAGATCTTCGAAAACCTTATGAGACGAGAAGAGCTGAAGATCATTTTGTCAAAAGTTCAAGAAATAGAGGGGGAGACTTGTGAGGTGGATGTCAAATCTCTAAAGACTTTGTTTGAGAATGTGCCTGCTTGGATTAGCAAGCCAATAAAAAATATGAAACGCAGACATTGTCCAAGAGCGGGCACAGAGACAGAGGGCTTAAGAGATGATGTAGAGAGCATGTCCTCTGTTGAGTCTGCATTTGAGGACCTAGAGAAAGCAAGCATGGACATCATCAATTTAAAAGAACAGACATTAGCTAAACTCCTGGAAATAGAGGCGGCGATAAAAAAAGCTCTGTACTCGGTTTCAAATTTAAAGTCCGAGGCAGACATTGCTGGGTTGTCAGGCCTGTTTAGTGAATCCTTAAATGCTGACAATGTCTCGCCAAATACTAAAAACATTAGGAAAATTAGCATTGTATCCAGCAAAGCAACACCTGTGCAATCGAAACAGGTACAGAGTACTGATAACAGGTGTCTGCCCAAAGAGGTACCACATGTACATCAAGTTCAAATGGGCAAACCATGCTCAAACGTCCCCTGCTCGCCTTCATTCATTTCCATTCATTCTGGTGTGAGAAAACCTGTGGAGTCACCCACATCCCTACAGCCTCACTCAGATAACCCAAAAGCAGCTGATCAACCTAATGCAAGTAGCACCTTCAGACAATCCTCCCCTGAGAAAAGCTCAGCCAGCCATGTTTGTAGCCCTCCAAGTCCTAGGAGGAAAGTCAGCGTTCTTGAAGTACAGCGCATTCCTGAGGTTGCAAGTGGAATCATTGGCACTAAAACTGTCAGTGAGAAATACGAAGAGATAGACTGCTTTGGGAATACTTACTTCTCTTCCAAAAGATCTACATTTGTTACCAGGCAGTCCGAGAGTGAATTATCTGCCTCATATGATATAATTACAAATCCAGGGAGATATGAAGAAATGGCTTCACCTGTTTCACAACGGTCTGGCCAGACCTTCTCCTCAAATTCTTTGTCTAAAAGCAAAGACAGAAAAGTGTTTGTTACTTTCAGTCATCCCAACACAGAAAAACATTAACCTGTCTGCCCATTTTGTTTTGTAGCATTTTTTTGGTGATTGTTAGTTCTATATTTCTATTTAAAATACTTATATATTAGTTTTATTGGTCCTCATTTTATATGTGTGTACAATAAAGAGTTTTATTGTAATGCTTTAAGAGCAAGGTTTTTTTGTACTGTTGCAATTAAGTGTTAATAAATGTGTTACTCTTAAATACTTGTTTCAAATGCTGTATATTAAAATTATCTCAAATAAAATACTTACAAAGCAGTATTTGTTATCAATTTTAAATTATTATTATTTCTATAAAACACCATGCTATAACAATCCTTCATGCTGTGAACATCATGCATAAACTCATATTCCATGTATGTCTATATTGTTGTCATAGTTCCTGTCACCTGCTAAAGAGATGTGCTCTGCGTGCCTGATGCCAGTTTATCCAGTGGAGAAAATGGTGGCAGATAAACTAATCCTACATAGTAACTGTTTCTGCTGCAAACACTGTAATAAAAAGCTAAGGTGAGAGAGGGATATCCCAATTGTCCATTTTGAAATTCCAAAATCATTTTCCTACACATTAGAAGGCAAATCAGTTATAAAATAGTTTTTAGTGTAATCCTGGAACATTTTATCAAATCTGTGATTCATAATGACAATACATGTGAAAATGTGCTAGTCAAATATCAAATCAAATACAATCTATATAATTAAATTCATATTGCATATTTAATTGATTTCATCTGATCACAAATCAAATACGATAACACTTGATTCCCTGGGGAAATTTCTATTTTACAGCATATGCTTTAACTTTGAATCTTCACTGGTGTACTATTATTCATTACAGCATTTATAATTACTCTGCTCTTTATGGAGAGTTCTACTGCCCATCACATTACCATCAGTTATTTAAGAAAAAGGGCAACTATGATGAGGGTTTTGGCCACAGACAACACAAAGACCGCTGGCTTGTTAAAACAGAGGAACCTAAACCTACTAACAAATTCAGCTCAGCACGTAAAACAGAGCCTACATGTGTTGATGCAACTGTAGATGACCCTAGAGGACCATCATCTCGACACAAAGATGATCAATTCAAATGTCCCGACAACACGAACAAGCTTAAAATAAGCTGGCCACCAGAAAACAAGGGGACCCGACATAGCCCTGTATCACAAAATACTTCCTCAGCCTCGAGAAGTACAACAGACTGGTCAAATCACAAGCGTTCTGCTGCACGAAGCTCCAGAAATGCTCTTGAAAAGAAAAGGTTTCATTCTGGGCTGGATGAAATGGACAAATCAGTTCAGCTGTCGCCTCGGGCTTATGAGAAGACAAACACATACGCCTCTCCCTTCACAATAAAAAGTGCACCACATTCAGAGGATGTTTATACACCTCATCCAAGAGGTTCAAAAACATTACAGAAGACTGCAGATAGAGCTGGAACACAAAGCAAAGTTTCAACAGGTGGGAAAGTGACCAGCAAATACTTGAATTCTGTTACCTCAAGACCAGATTCTGTGAGAGAACACAATTTGGCTGAAGATGGGAAATCTGATAGCCCAACGAAAATAAAAAAGTCTGTCCGGTTTGTTTCAGATTTAAATATAGACAAGGAAAATAACACAGAGATCAGCAGTGAAGAAGTTGAAAGCTCTACTGATGCTTTTGTTGAACCTGCAGCTGTCAATGGTAGTGTAATGACAGCAGATATGGCAACTTTTGAATCAGGAATAGAAATAGAGGAACCACCTGTGGAAGGTTTAATGGACAAATTGCATCATCCATACAGCCATGATTCTGTTGGACATCCCAAAGCTTTAGATGGACAAATGCAGGATCCTTTCCTTCCGACTGTAGGAAAGCAGGAAAGTAAAAAAACAAAAGCAAATGAGGCAAATATGAGTGAGATGGAAACAATTCTGAATCTTGATGAACTGCAGATAAATGACATCCCAGCATGTGGTAAAGAAACATTTAAACCAGGTAGTGAATCATGTGATTTGGAGCAGGTTGATGAGATAGAGAAGAAAGAGGTGGTTATTGAAAGTAATGCCAAGGCTGTAACCTCCAAAAATCAAGAACCCACAGATATTACTACGGTTGAATCTAAAGTCCCTGACATGTTGGATATGCCTCCAAAATCTGATGATAAAAGCAACACAAAGGTTGCTGACAAAAAGGCCATGGATAAAGGGAATAAAGGGTCTTGGTCTAAAGGTAAAAGCCCTCTTTCCAAACTCTTCACATCTGGTCCAAGTAGGAAAGAGAACAAAAGTGAGACAAAAATGGAAAGCAAAAGATCCGATATCAAACCTAGAAATTTACTGGGCAGACTCTTTTCATCCTCTGAAATAGATTTAGAAATAAAGAAAACACCAGAAATCAAACCTGAAAATACATGCGAGGAGCCAGAGAAAACCGGAGTGACAGTAGATGACATTGCATTGATACAAGAAAATGTTTCTGTATCTCCACCTTCGACTGAGCCCACCTGTCAAAACACACCTCAAGAGCCCATAAAACCAACACAAACCCAACTAAGTGATGCTGCAGAAGAACCAAATCTAATTGAGGGCCTTGAAAATCCCATCCTATTGCATAATGGAAGCTCTGCTGATGAGACTGTGCCATCAATAAACCTTGAGTCAATTGAACAACACAAGCCCGCTTCTGTTGGTTTTGAGGAGATTGATATGAATGAGGCTCTTAGTCCTTCACAAGAACACATTAATGTAGATCTGACCTCTCTAGACTCTTCAAAACCTTACGGTCTGGAGGAGAGCCTCAACTCCTCTTTGCCTCAGAATGAAGATACCACTGGTTTTCTTGATTCATCTGATGCATTTACATCTCAAGTTGCGGGCCCCAACACAGATGCCATGGCTTTTTCAGGTTCAGATACACTTGATTATACACACAGTGACACATTGACAGACATTATGGATTTGGAAACTCCGTCAGTAGATACAGGGAGCTCCATTATTCAAAAAGACCCATTTGGAGAAGAAGCTCAGGGAGAAAGTGGAGATATGACATCAAGTCCTTCTGTGAATTTTAATCAAAAGGCTCTTGATATTTTTGGTTCGTCAGAGTCAAATATTGAGGCAAACTCATATGGTTTTGGAAACACCTTAACTGAAGTCAATAAAAATGAAGCGGTTGTTTCCTCAGAAATGACCGATGATCCCTTTGGAATGAACAATGCACCAGTCCAAACAATGGATATCTTTGGAGGCGACAATATGCTCACTGTCTTTGATCAATCGTCCACTAATAGTTTCTTTGATATTATGACAAACAGTGAGACTCAAAGTCAAAACCCTTTTGAGGGAATAACAGATGGTCAACTGGCACCAAATGGAGTTTTTGACTTTATAAGTTCTGAAGGTGACCCATCAACACTATCAGTTACTTCCAATGTGTTCGAACAGAAAAGCTCTGACCTTGAACAGGAAAATCTAATTCAAAGTGAGGTTAATAATCTTTTCAATAGTAAAGGCAATCAATCAAGCTCTAATGTGCCTGATCAAAACCTTTCTGGCCAAGAGCTAATTGAGTCATCTCAAATGGAAGCTTTTGATTTCTTCAGCTCTGAGAAAGATCCATCTACAGCTGCATTCAGTCACATGAGTGCTGATCCTTTCCCAATTGACATCTTTGCAAGTGTTATGGACAGCACAGCCACAAATACATTCAGTGTAGAAACAACGCAAAGAACTGTAAACCCATTTGACGATTTCACTGGGTTAGAGAGTCACGGTGAGGCTGCAGAGACTAAAGTGAGCAACTTATTTCCAGATGACATATTTTCATCCGTTCCTGCCATGTCTCCAGTACAGGATACCCTCTCCATACTAAATCCAACAAACCCTGACACCAGTGCTGTGCTGCAGCAAAAGCCTGAAAATGACTGGATGTCTGACTTTTTGGGGTAGTGTCAGTGCCATTGTTCATTACACACACAAAAAAGATTCAAATCTTACATTTAAATAAGCAGGTATATTGATTTGCCTTTGCTGTACTATTCTGTACAATTCAGATTTTATTACTGACATTTGATTAATCAATGTATATTTAAGTTAAAGTATTCTTACACAATGTGTTACTTTTTTAGATCTGAATAATTAATGTATATTAATACAAGTGTCAATATCTAATGTAGTGTTACTTATAAAAATGTTTTTAGATAAAAAAATGTTAGTATTTGACAATTCATTGTGATTCTACAGAGGTTGTTCAGTTAAATCAGACTAACTTTTTTGTACTTTGTATTAATCAGTAATATTTTTATGTCTGCTATGACTAATAGTTCTGTGACATAGGGGAAGAATAAATAGATTTATTTAGCAAAGTTTACTTCAATAATCCATGTAGTCTTCATATAATCCACAAAAATATATGCAAGAAAAGTAAATCATTTTCATGTTAATGTTGATCATGAACCAATGTAATGACCATGTTCATCCAAAAAAATAAAATAATTGGGTCATAAAAAATAAAACAATAATTCAAATGAGGTTTATTGCATATTATTTTACATATAGAACACTAAATCTGCAAATCTTTTTGCTAAACTGCAGAATTGAAATCTGATTGTTATTTCTACATATCACTACAATGTAAACCGTTAAACAGAATAATAACACTAGCCACAAAGACAAGGTTATAACTTGGTTGCTATGATGTCTTCACAATCTCCAGGTGCAGAGTAAGCCATTTTTGGTTGCCTTTTGAGAAATAGAGGGATAGTGTGTTAGTTTCTCTTGACAAAATATAACATGTAAAAATGTATAATACTTAAGAGGCTTAATGTGTAACTTAAGTATTACAGAGTCATGCAACTGAATTTAAAACATGTCGACACTGCAAAAATCCCTTTCATCAGCAGAATTTCACTAAATATAAGTATTTTTACCAGTTTTGAAAACTTTTTCAATGTAATCGTACATGTACCTCTTGCCCTCTGCCTCCTCTGTTGAACCAGGCAGCTCAGTGCGTCTGGTCTCAGGAAGCAGGAAGGCCGTTATCCCACTTGCTAGTGCCAGGCTGCCTAACACCAGAGTGGGAATAGTGAAGTGGTAGACCTCCAGCATGTTCACCACAGGAGCCAACATACTTGCGACTCGTGCTGCAGTGGAGCCCAGGCCCATGGCTGTCTGACTGGAAATCAACAAGTGGATTATTACATAACTGCATTAAAAACAACAGTCTTATTCATAACTACAGAAAACAACACGGTCATGCTTACCGAATGGAGGTGGGGAAGAGTTCTTGAATATAAACGTTGCAAATACTGCCTGCGCCATTCATGAGAAATCTTCCACAAGTGGCAAGAGCAGCGACGGCGATGGAATTACCTTAAGAAGAGCATCACATGGTTAAGTGCTGATTCTTTGTATGTTACAGTGTGTTACATGAAGGAAAAGGTTTTACTTTGTGGAACCGCAAGTGTCAGGAGACAGAGGGACCCTCCTACTATGAGGGCAGCCATCAGAGACACCTTCCTTCCAACCGTTTCCAAAGACCACATGCAGAGGAAGTGGACAGGAATCTCAGAGAGGCCGAATATGAGTTGATTGAGAAAAATATCAAGGCCAAACTTCCCCACATTCAGAGAGAGGCTGTAGTACGCTAGATTTAGCGCACACCTGAATATAAACAATATAGAGGGCCATTCAAGTTTTGATACGAACTGAACCCTGAAAAGTTCAGGAAAAAAAGTTTGAAAACAAACGTTTCTCTGTGAATCAACTCACCATGCGAAAGTAATGCTTAAGAAATATTTCCTGAGCACACGGGAAGCAAAAAGGATTTTTATACCTCCCCTTTCAACAGGCTTTTCATTTAGGACCTAACAAAAGATGTTATCCATATTGTGTTATTTAAGAAAAATGGGCCTGTCCATTGGCTGGATGTGCAAATTAGTGAAATATATCTCCACCTTCTCCACTAATGAGTCTGGAACTGTACGTTTGTTGATCGCCGCTGCCTTCTGAATGAGTTCTTTAGCATCTGTAGTTCTTCCACGAACAAGAAGCCATCTGGCAGACTCTGGAATAAACCTATAATGGTGTGTATATCAAATGATTTAATTCACTTACAAATCCTTCAAAACAAATGCAAAATTACTGAACTGCACTGAAGAACACACATACCATATGTAGGTGACCACAAATGCAAGTGGGCCAGCCATTATAAACTGGTCCAGTCTCCAGTCCCTGACATAATAAACAACGGCAAGAAACATGACCTGGCCCAAAGCGGCCAGGACTTGACTCAGACAGGCTGCAAAGGATCTCTGAGCGACTCCAATCCACTCAGTGGCTACAGTGAGGATGAAAACATTGTGATAAACACACATTATAGGAATTATAATGATGAAACACAGCTATTCCGTGTTTCACAGTCACATAATATATAGCCCAATATAGTCTTACACAAGACCTTTCAACTGATTTGTTGATGACGCATAATGAAAGTAAAAATATTCTATGCAGTTTCTAGTAAGTTGATCAGCTATCTGATATTTTACATTGAATATTCAATCTGCTGATAGCCAGTGATGATGCTAAATATTGTCTCATACCAAGGATAATGCTGTTGATCCGAAATCCTCCAAGAGCAATACCAACAATGAACTGTGATGCGAGGTACACATAAAAGTTTGGAGCGAGACCAGTCACGACTGTGAATATTAGCATGAGCACCATAGGTATCTGTGTAGCTCGCTTGCGACCAAACCTTGAGTTCATTTAAACAAAGAGAGAGAGAGAGAGAAAGACAAGAAAAAACTATATAATTTACTAGAGAAGACTATTGATAACATCACGCATGAAATGAAATCTTTTCTATATGCTAAATGTATGATGTAACTTTATTTTTCATGTCACAGACATCGGATGGAGTACATTTCTATGTAAGTGTCTATTATAATATAATATAATTTTTATATATATATATACTAGGTGAATACTTTCCACACATACATGACATGAAGCTTGATGTGTGGGGGAACAAAGACAAATCTAAGTAACACTTTGTTTTACAGTGCCCTTGTTAAGCATTACATATACTAACTATAATGATAACAGTAACTTATGCATAACTACAAACAACTAACCTTAACCCAAATCTTATTATAATATTAATATTACTCAGTACATTTTGTGTAACTAGACTGTGACAAGGACACCTTAATTTTATCTATTCCGTATTTAATCGATTTTTTTAACACTTACGATTCTGAAAAGGGCCCAAAAAGTACAGCTCCAACTAGTACTCCAGCGAGGAATATTGTCTGTGCTCCCCGAAACAAATTTGCATTGTCACATACAAGATCGAACTGCAAAACATCACAAAAACGTCAGGCATTTATGAAGGCTTTCTTGATGTACACAGCATATTGTTGCCTAAATCAGCTCAAAGTGAGGTCATTTAAACACATGGTAGTTAAATTACATTGTAGTGTGACCACAAGTCAAATGTTTTCCAAATTATGGGTAACTAAACCCAAGTTACATTTTCAACATGTTTATTTGAAACACACCAGTGGTAGTACTTACATCGGTGACAATGGTTGCTTCATAAATAGTATCATTATGCACCCATCCATCAGTGCAAGTGGTGGTTTCATTTAGACCGTATTCCTGGATAGCAGACAGATCCCAATCCACGGGCACATACATCTGACAGGGACTGAAAGAGCCATTCGAGAGCCTCGGCAGAGTCAGGTTGAGCTGCTCTTCCTTCGTCAGATTGGAACCCACCTGAAGGATCCAGTCAGAGTTGCAATGGTGGTTTGTGTCTGCGTGGTTGAAGACAAGGCTGGATAACTGAAAAGGCAGAATGAGATTTGGAAAGCACAAAGCAAACAAGAGAAGCTTTTGGAAAAGCCCAAAGTCGCCTACAGTTTCTAAAATCTCCCCAAAATCAGCCATGGTGGGCCAGAAGAGAGACAACCCAAGAAAGCTTGAGAAGTTATACTAGAAAACAAAGCTAATTAATGTTTAACTGCATAATCATGTGAATATGTCACAGAAAGTCATATATACAGAGAACAATGGTCATGTTATTGCGGAGAAAGTGTAATGGGTCAACATTCAAATGTTTTTTCAGACAGAAATTATATATATATGTGTGTGTATTTGTATAGTGTCTATCTATGCATGTATCTACGAAAATGTGGCAGCAAAACAATTTTCACTTGCTTGTAAATTTCACAAATAATTACAAATAAACAAATATAAAACGTGTAATTTTGAAGTAGAAAAACCTTTTTTACATTTTCTTGTAAAAAAATACTTCAATGATCTATTTATTTCAATAATCATACATGCATATGTATGTATGTATGTATGTGTGTATATATATATATATATATATATATGCATATGTATATACACATACATATACAGTATATATACACATACATATATACACATATATGTGTATACACACACACACGCACACATTATATATATATATATATATATATATATATATAGGTACATACATACATACATACATACCTCTATATCTATATAAAGTTTTCAAAACTAAACTGAAGTGAACTAGAGCAGTACTTTGGTTCTAAAATATAAAAACTAATAAAAAATTGTGCTGACAGTAAATGTAATGTGTAACTCAACAATATAACACCCCTAGCAATAAACTGGATAAGTGCCACAGAGGACTATTATGGATCATGAAGCACTTCAACATTATGCAATTCACTATTAGACAAGTCTGCAGGGAAATGTCATAATTTCATTCTTTATTGATTATTATTAAAAATAACTGGGTACACATGCACTGAAAATCCCAAAAAGTGAAATACTATACAGTGTTCTACCATTGTCCTTAACACACCATACTGAGAGTGATAGTAATACCTCCATTGCTGTTGTGTCATGACAATTCATTCCTTGAAGTTCAATTAGATTAAAAAAAAAGAAGACACTAAATAAAAAACGTTGATTTGAAAACACTTAAATATTCCACTAAAATGCAGCCAATTCCTCTTTTGAAAGACCTGCATACATGTGCTTGGTGTGAAAATACAGCAGCCTTCCAGACTGCTTACAGAACAGAACGGAGGAATGATCTTAAGACAACTCACCTCAACAAACACCACCACACAGAAATATGAGCATGTAGAGATAACAAGATCTGATGTGTCAATATGAAGACAAATCAGCTTAGTTAATTATCTTTAAGGATTCCTACAAATGAGAAACAAGAATATGCTTTCAATTGCTTTCAAGTGCTCAGTTGAATTACTTCTAATGAATTCCAGAAAAAGGGCAAACCACTTGTCCACACGTGAAAATCGTGAAATAATGATAATAGTCTAATCACTATCCACTACCATGGTGAGAAAGAGACTTGAGGACTTGAAGTGTCTTACAAGAGAAAGGGGAAATATTTGAGGCTTTAGAGAATCATGACAGGGCCATAAACAATTTAGACCATCAAAGAAATGAAATCATTGTGTTTAAGCTTTGACTTGAAAGTCTATTTAAAGGATCGGAGATATGATTGACACAATGATTACAGTAAGGTGGCATGCCATTGTAATGAGCTGTTACCCATTAAACCACAGACCACAAGCATTCCTTCTAAGAATCTCACCAACCACTCACACAACGATGAACAAAGACAGCAAGGCAGAAACTGAAATGTAGGAAAACAATAATAGCCCTCCACTGTTGACAAAGTAGAATTCAGTACATAAACTATTCTCAAGTCATGCTAATGTAATATTTCAGGCCTACATTTTTCAGTAATGAAACCCGAGTGTTGTGTTTTTCCACTGTGAACACAAAGAAGCCAACAATAAGTCATTAGACAAACCACCACGTCCACTCCAGAAAGGCCAGCTGTGAACAGTATGTATACTGTTTATATTATATATAAACAACACCAATTTGATTATTTACATGATTATTTTCTTGATCAAGTACTCGTTAAGATGCCCCACCCACATTCATTGTTGTATTCACACTAAATATATTTTAAAAAGAAAAATCAACAGTCATTTGCACATACACACAAGTGTGAAAGTGACAGCAAATGAATCACCAACCATGTCTACAATTAATCGGGTTTAAAACCATCTTAAAATGTACTGTTTGTTGGAAGCCAAGGAGAGAAAATAACTGGGAAAATTAAAAATGAAGTGGAGTGTAGATCCTCAATAAGAAAATGAATTAAACAAAATTAAAAGTCCGGCAAAAAGGTTTAAATAAAATGTAAAAAAAAAAAAAAACAGTTATTGCCGAAATCACTGGCAATATGACCATGTCATTTTGTTTTTTAAAGGGAAAAAATACCAGTTGCATGTGAACACATTTTCTGCCTATATAACATGGAATCAGACATCAGTCTACTAACTAAGACGGATGATATATTAAGCAAGATGTAATGAACTTAAATATTTACAATGACACAAACAGGCCCACGAATTCAAATCCAATGGATCCTATTGCCAATATTACTTGGACACAGGATGAGTCCTGAAGTCACTTTTTCTGGGACTGTGTCCCAGGCTTCACTGGTTTTTACTTCATTAACAGTGCTTGCAAGGCAAGCAATGTATATTGACAGTCATGTTTTTCCATTTTTCTATACATCTCTAGGTCCACGCACAGACTCCATTCCAACTTTGTTTTGCAGATGTGTTTATAAATTGAGTACTTTAAAAATGTGTTGAATATTGAGAATTCAAAATGTAACTATCAGTGGTAATTTGATTTTACCAAAATGTTAATGCTATTCTTTTGCCGCCTTGCAAACGCTGGAATCTCCTTAAAAAAAAAAACATAAATCTATAACACTATCCAAACAGCTGCCTCTATACTTAACAGCTACGCATGTAAATGGAACTTGTAACATTATGCTCAATCCACAAAATTGCATAAACCTTTCTAATATATATGAAATGCACAATTTCCAGAGAATTTCAATTGTTTTCTGAAACAACAGCATATACATCCTTCGCGAAAAATATCAATTGGATGAAAAACACTGTTCACGTTTTTTTAACGAGCTCAATATCTCATTTCATCTCTCTTGCACCTCCTCTTTTCACAAAGAGCCGGCAAAATTAAGTGAGAGCAAAATGATCAGCATATCTTAAGTTAAAAATCATTCATGCAGTCTGGCATTAGCCCATGCAAAACGATGGGAATGTATCCCGATAGTGAGAAAGCAACAGAAACGTGTAACCGTGAGGTACAGTGCACGGGTGTAACGGTGAAACATCATGTCTGACGGGGTTGTGGGTGACGTGGCTCCCATGTTTACTGGTTAATGTGTAAAACCATACAATGCTGATCGCCCCAATATGATGCACCACATTGCAGAGAACAGCTGACTTTATAGCGGTGCCAACATGCACCCTTAAATGCTATTGAATGACAATCCTCCTTCCTTTGAGGTACACAGCTGAAAGCACACACAGTCACTCATTCATTTCACAGATGAGATCCACAGCTACTGTCGACCTACAGTTGTAAATTCAGTAGTACTACCGAAAGTAAGGCATTCTTTTAACATCTACCAGTACTAGGAGTTGGTTCAGATTGTGCAAATGTTTAAAGCAACAGAAAACAAAACATACATGAATACTGTAAACATCTGAGGTGCGCTCCTATGAAGAACTCGGATGCAGTCCTATTCGACATTTGTGGTGTCAGGTTCCTTCTGTCTCTTTGGCAGTAGTGGTTTCTTTAGGCCAATGAAAGCATTTACAATGCACTGTTGTGCAAACAAGTCTGTGTGTTTTTTTTCCCGGTTGCTGGTAATACTGTTTTAACTTATACTCAGCTGAGCAAATCCCATGAGTTTAATGTCGTCTGGAATTTCAGAGTTGTCCACTCCCGATGCCTAAACGGAAGAAAGATAAACATAGAGCCAAATATAAAACAACACCTCCGGTGAGTAACTGACCACTGCATCACATAATCTAATGACTTACCAACTTGAAAGTGACATTTTTGTGGGTTTGTGGATCATCAACGATTTTCTGCAAATTGGCTGCAACTAAAAAATGAATGCAAGTTAAAAACACTAATTATTTTCAACCTTTGTCTTTTTAGTGTGGAGCAGCCATTTTATTTTTATCTCGACAAACTCACCAATGACTAAGTCTCTCCCATCCACCAGTCCTGCAGACACAAGCTCCTGAGACACTCCATCAGCTGTGTCTGGATATAGAAGACAATAAGTTATACACATTTTACAAGCTTTGTGATCGAGATTGCGTGATTAGAAATTAGCAAGAAACAGACAGATATTTAGTCAAGTGAACAGCAAACTGCACAAACCTCTCCCAGGCATGAACTCAAATCTGATATCGTTCAGCTCTTTCTTTGTATTCCTGTTGTGAAAATAAATAAAGTAATGTGAAACAGTTTAAGAAACAAGATATTATCAGAAGACATTTTGATTTTACTGTAGAACTAAACTGTTATTTTAGTTTTTTATATACGGATACTGTTTTTTTTTTTTTTTTTTTTAATTTGAGTAATTGTGTTATGTGCTTTTACTTTTTAGTTTAGATTTTTAATATTTAATTTAATTTGATTTCAATTTTAGTAATTCTTTAATCGTTTCAGTAATTCCACTTGATTTCAGTTAGTTGCTAAGGAAACATTTCTAATTTTTGTGCAAGTTTTCCATATAATATTTAAGTTTCATATTATTTCAGCATATTATGAAAATATTTTTTTTTTTAGTTTTAGTTAACAATAACAACACTGTAAAGTCCTTTCTTTCAATCCTGCACCAATGTGCATCACTCTAAAAACCTTTCAGTGATAAACTGAAATATTTGTATTGTCATACAAAAAGAGCAATTATATCAGTTTCACCCAAAAATCTAACTTTTAAGTCACTGGGATCAGTGCTTGCATTTTTATCTAATGTAAAAAGAAAGGGTGAGCCAACACAACCCTGTGGAACAAATGCAACTGTCCTCAACAGTATGGTTAACTCTAACCTAACTGATCTATTTGGTTATAAAAAAAGAAAGAAAAAAAGAAACCGTTGTTTTTGATTGATGGTCAGCATCAATCATCATGATTATAATGAAAAATACCTTAATCTTAGAACCAGGCTGATGGGGGTTTTGGCTGAGTCTTGCCCTGTCGTAGTAGGTCCACCAGCCTGCAGGGATACAATTTTAAGATCTAAAGTCAAACCTAAATTATGAACCAAGTCCACTTGTTTGGTCATTCTCACTACTGATACTGTTGTCACACATGTGACTCATCAAAGCAGAGCTCACCTGGGAGCCTGGAGAGGACGCTGATATCGTGGCTGTGTCATTTGCAGCATGTGGCACTTCAGACTGTCCTGCAGCTGCTGGATGCAGGAAGCTTGATGGATCCGCTGGAAAGATCTTTGAAAGAGGCAGAAACAAGATTTTCTTGAGAATGGCTTTGAGGTAACTCAAAAAGTAGGAAATGGAACTGAACTCTCACCTCTGCATTTTGCACAGCCTCCTCCTTTACTCTTGGTGACTAAAAAGAGACAATTTAAAAGACTTGCTTTATCCAAATCCACAGCCTAAAATAAAACAGACTTTGGTAACGATGCAGCAGATGAGTGTGTACCCGTAAAGCGGCCACTGCAGCCTTTCCTTCCTCACTCTCCATGTCCAACTCATCATCACTCCATTCCCATTCTCCATCCTCAGTCTTGTGAAGTCGACCGCTGGAGCCCGGAACCCTTCGCACCTGTTTACACAAACAACAAAATGCTTGAAGCACAACTACTAAAATTATTGTGTAATATTTGTCAGTAAATTTCTCACCCACCTTCCTTGATCTCTCTCCTATTGTTGGCGCCCTGTCCAGCAATTTTTCTTTCAAGTATTCATTGTTCTGTAAAGAAATTGTGAGAAATGAAATTCAACTTTCGTAGTAAGCTACAAGCCAGAAAATTTGTTCTAAATATACACATTATATTCTATTATTATTTATTATGAATAATTCCACAAATGTAATATTTTGGTTAAAACTGTGAAATCAGGTTATACTATTCTAAAAATACATTTGAGAGAGACAGCATCCTCTGTGGGTCGTAATGTAGCACTGCAGTGGCGTACAGGCCTCTCTGTTTACGCACAGACTACAGTGCTACTGAGCCGCCAGGAATGAAAGTCTGCTGAGGCAGCACTGCGTTTGTTACTATATGGGCTGTATCCCATGAGCAGGAAATGGCCTTTAGAAACTCGAATCCTGAGCATTTGTTACAGTAAACCAGCCAAGCTGGACCAGTGGTTTAGAAATGTTTAGGCGACAACGACTGTAGCCAAACGAAATAATTTTGCCTACTGGAAGCAGCAATTACATAAAACAGACCACACATTTATGCACTTAGGTTACCAGTAAATGAATAAAAAAATGTCACTACTCTAGTCATTCTCTGTAGTTTACAAATTCGGGTTACAGGATCTCACCTTGGCTTTTGTGAAGAACTTGTGTTTTAAGAGTTCAGCAGCTGTAGGGCTGTTGATGAAAAACATTGAAAATGTATAATATGACCAAAAACCGTTGGTCTTGATAGAATCAGAGAACGTTAGGAAATCAATGCACTACCGTTTTTCTGGATCCTTCTGGAGGCACAAGAAGATCATCTTCCGAAAAGATTTGCCATATTTTTTAACCATCTCTTTATCTGTAACTCCAGTCTCTAGACAAGGAGGGTCATTCTGTAGGGTTAACATGAGAACCTAAACCAAAAAAAAGGGAGAAAGGAAGAAATCAAGAAAGTCCAAGACAAATCATTACTGTGGACCAAGTATAGACAAAATCATTAAGCAACCAGAGGCTTCTGAATTATTGCAGAAAATGATTATGCTTCTCACACATTTTGTTCATCAAGATACATTTTTTATGAATTTGGAAGCCTAAATAAAAATCTAAGTAAAATGTTAGGCTATAAACAAACAACACCATAGTTGCATAACCTCAACGTCAGCACCACTAAGCTTTTAACAAATCTTTTTATCTTCATTTAAAATCTACAAGCTGCAATGTTTGAGTTAGAATAGAGTGCAGGAGCAGAAGTATAAATACAACAAGGTTGTAAAAATTGACTAGTGAGTAGATAAGTTTTCCTGTTTGGTGTAATGAGGTTTAATGTCCTTGACCACCTCTGTGGTCCTATTTAGCAACCACCTTTTTTTCAACACACATAGAAGCTTGAAAAACAATGACTGAGGTATTACTGATGTATTTTATGTAATAGAATAAAACGTGAATTTAAGCTTGTGTTAACCACCAATCAAACATTTAACCAAAACCCATTCAAAAAACCCACTGACTTCATGCCAATGGAAACGAAAGTGCAAAATGCCAACTCAATTCCAGATTTTACGATTCATTCCTTCATCACTCCTTTGGCAGGTTTCATAGCGGACTCTCCATGAACTGAACACAAACAGTGACTTGAAGGCTGCTTACCTTCATTGGAGGATATTTGTGATATGGAGCAGCCCCGGTTGCCAGCTCAATAGCTGTAATCCCGAAACTCCAGAGATCAGCTTTGAAATCATAACCCCTAACCTGTGATTGAGCAAACACATTATCATTATCACATTCCGTAACAAAGTAGGAACAGGTGGGACAAACAAATATATGAAAAGCAAAGTAGGAACAGGTGGGACAACACTAACCTGCTCCATCACCTCAGGCGCCATCCAGCATGGAGTTCCTACAAATGTCTTCCTCACTTTGTTTCTAGTCATGTCTCCACCAGTTGCTAAAAAGGCACTAACACCAAAGTCTTCAGGGGGAAAAGCAGATGACAAAACTATGAATCGCCTGACCCATGTTGTTTAATATATGCTTTTCGTTCCAAGCACCACCTATAATCAAATCAAAACCTTCCTAGTCCAGAAAATGAGCATCTAGAGGCCATTCCCAGACTTTGAAAGCAAACTGAATTATATTGCCTTTTTCCTGTTTGCTTCAACAAAAAATTACTTTTTTCCCTCCAAGTATAACATTCCGCATAAAGTACATAAACACTAAGGCAATCAAACATTACATTTAAATAAGAATATTCTACATTCCTAGATAATATTCTACAGTTGAGATAATTTTTAAAAAGCAGTGTATTTAAACCCTACTACTAAGCTAATTACTTGTCAATAACAGTGAAACTCCACCTGCAATTTGAACAGAGCCGTCTTCTCCTAAAAGAATATTTCCAGCCTTCACATCCCTTAACAGAGTAAAAGTAGAAGTCAGTGTATTGCTCAGTGACTCAAAGTTAAAGGGTTAGTTCACCCAAAAATTGAAATTACCCCATGATTTACTCACCCTCAAGCCATCCTAGGTGTATATGACATTCTTCTTTCAGACGAGTACAATCGGAGTTATATTAAATAATGTCCACGCTAATCCATGCTTTATAATGGGAGTGGATGGTAGCCCAAAATTTGAAGTCCAAAAAATTGCACCCATCCATTATAAAAGAAGTCCACACAGCTCCGGGGGGTTAATAAAGGCCTTCTGAAGCAACGCGATGCGTTTGTGTAAGAAAAATAACCATATTTACAACTTTATAAATTTTAATCTCTAGCTTCCGCTAACTGTCGTACGCTCGTTCACGAGAGA